AACTATGTTCAAGCATTGCCTAGGTTCGATGAGAAGGATGTAGAGGCATTTTTTTTTTCATTTCATTTGAGAAAGCGACTAACACTGAAATTGCCAGTGACAACACGGCTATTATTGATCCAAACGAACTGATGGGGAAAGCGAGTGAGATATTTACATCATTATCAGAGGAGGTTTCTGGGGATCATAGTGAGGTGAAATTGATGTATTAAATGCATATGAACTCGTACAAGAAGCTGAAAGATAGCTTTTCAGGAATCTAAGGAGGAAACCTGGTCAAACGTTTATCGAATTTGAAAGGATCAAACAAAATAATTTTGATAAATGGAAAAGGGCATTGAAAATAGATCAAATATATGATGCTCTTAGAGAGACTATTCTTTTGCAGGATTTTGAAAATTCACTTGCTGAAGTAATGAGAAATCATGTGGAAGAGCAGAGAATTAAGACTGCATGATTAGCAGTGGAAATGTCCGATTATTATGAATTGGTTCATAAATCAAAATTTGGCTTCCAACATCAATTTCAAATTGTGAAGGATTGAAGTTGGGGAAAAGCACAATCTTCAGGTGATAAGGGAAAATGAGATCTCATTGAAGGTAGCATAGATTGTTTACAATAGGGTAAAAGAAAACCCATGAGGGGGAAAGAGAAGTTAAAATGCTAAACTGCTTTCACGGTTAAAGAAAAAAAAAAAGACTGCATGAAGTTGCAGTATTGATGGTTTAGAAACAAGCACTAGGAAGACGCATGTGAGGAAAAATGGATAAGCCAGTCAGTTTTGTTGAAATGGCAAAGAAAAGCATAGGGGAAGCTAAAAAATGCAAAAAAAAAAAAAAAAAAAAAAAAATTCGTTAAGAAGAAAATACCAGAACTCTTTAAAGAATGTACTTGCAGGTGTAAAATTTAATCATGTATGCTAGGAGGAGCAGGTAAGGAAAATAAAACTTTAAGAGATGCAGGAGCAAATCAATCTTTGATGGCAAGAGTTGGGTAGATAATCAATTCTGTCAGATTTTTGCCAGAAAAGATGGTAATATGTTGAATTCGTGGTAGGAAGAGCAGTTTCCATGATATGTGGTGAGGTTGGCGAGTCAGGTGAACAGTGATAAGAATCATAGAGAAAATCTGGTTTCCAGATATAGAGTGTATTCTTAATAATGATACAGTTGGTCACAGGTGAGAGTGATACCTACTTTAATTGACAAGACAGTGAAATATCATGCAGTTTAGGTATTACAGGAAGTATATTGTGGGATTTTTCCTGACTGTGTGGTAGTGATGTCACAAAGTGTTAGATTGAAGGAGGAAGAGAAATTAAAGAGCAAAGATAAGAAAGTTGAAGTTCAGTTATCAGAGAATATGTTTGATTAACAGTTGAGAAAAAGACATAAACAGATAGAGGACAAAATGGATATTTTTGTTTAGAGAAATTCACTGAATTACAACAGGAATGTGAAAGATTAAAACAGTTGTATCAAAAATCATACATAAAGAAAGAATCAGAATGTATCCCACAATGTTATATCTTAGGAATTACGTCTTGATGAGGAAATCGAGACGGTCACATATTCAGACGAATGAGAAATGGGCAGAAGTTCATCAGCTTGTATTACTGGTGGATGATAGAAAGGAGGTATTGCGGGTAGCACATGAATTACCAATAGGAGGAAAACATAAGCAAAAAAAAATCATTTTGTTGGTCTGGACTGCACAAGGATGTTGTTGAATTTTGCAGGAAATGTCATACATGTCATGCAATTGGAAAAACTCAGGTAGTGAAAAAAACAGCACATTTAATATCCATAAGATAAGTCAGTGTAGAACTGGAGGAACACAGCAGGCCAGGCAGCATCAGAGGAGCAGGAAAGTTGACGTTTTGGGTCAGGACCCTTCTTCAGAAATGGGGGAGGGGGAAGAGAGCTCAGAAATAAATAGAGAGAGGAAGGGTGGGACTGGGTATGTTGGTGGGATGGTGATAGGTGAGTGCAGATAGCGAGTGGTGAAGGATTGGTCAGTGCGATGGGTCAGGCAGATAGGTGGGAGAGAAGATGGACAAGTTGTGTCAGGCCAAGGAGGCAGGGATAAGAGGGAGGGTTGGTCATGGGATAAGGCCAGGGATGGGGAGATTTTGAAACTGGTAAGATCCACATTGAGGCCATTTGGCTGTCGGCTACCAAGGTGGAGTATGAGGTGATGCTCCGTCAGTTTCCGGGTAGCGTCATTGTAACAATGGAGAAGGCCCAGAATGGACATGTCACCCAGTGAGTGGGAGGGGGTACTGAAATGATTCGCGAATGAAACGAGTTGTCATTTGTCGTGAGCACAGCACAGTTCCTCTACAAAGTGGGCTCCGAGCCTCTGCTTGGCCACATGGATGTGGAGGAGGCTACATCAGGAGCAGTGGATGCAATAGACCACATTGACGGATGTACAGGTGAACCTCTGTCTGAAATGGAAAGTTGTTTGGTGCCTTGAACGGAGGTGAGTGGGGAGGTGTAGGGGCAGGTGTAGCACTTTCTGCAGTTACAGGGAAAGGTGCAGGCAAGTAGTGGGGCTAGTGGGGAGCGTGGAGCAAATGAGGTAGTCATGGAGACAGCGGTCCCTATGAAAGACAGAAAGGGGTGGGGAGCGAAATATATCTTTAGTTGTGGGGTCAGATTGCAGGTGGCGGAAGTGGCGGAGAATGACTTGGATACGAAAGTTCGTGGGCTGATATGAGAGGACAAGGGGAGTTTTGTATTTGTCTTTGTTGGGGAGGGGATGTGAGGGCAGATGTGCAGGAAACGCAAGAAATACAGTCGAGAGCGTTTTCTAACACTGAAGGGGGAATGTTTTAGTCCTTGAAATAAGAGGACATCTGGAATTATGGAAGTGGAACACCCCATCTTGGGAGCAGACGTGGCAGAGGCAGAGGAATTTGGAGTAGGGCATCACATTCTTGCAGGAAGATGAGAGAGAGCAGGTTTAGTCTCGGTAGCTGTGGGAGTCAATGGGCTTGAAGTAGATGTCGGTTTTGAGGCGGTCACCAGAGTTGCAGACAGAGAAGTCCAGGAAGGAGAGAGAGATACCAGAGATGGCCCAGGTGAACTTGAGGTTCGGGTGAAAGGTATGAATAAAGTTAATGAACTGTTCAGTCTCCTCGTGGGAGCATGAGGCAGCGCCAATAAAGCCACTGATGTAGCAGAGGAAGAGGTGAGGTACACTGCCGGTGTAGCTGTGGAAGCGGGACTGTTCCACATATCCTACGAAGAGGCAGGCATAACCTGAGCCCATGTGGATTCCCATGGCCACCCCGTTAGTTTGTAGGAAGTGGGAGGATTTGAAGGAGGAGTTGTTAAGGGTAAGGACGAGTTTGGTTAAGCAAATGAGGGTGTCGGTGGAGGGGGACTGGTTGGGCCTGTGGGAGAGGAAGAACCGGAGGGCTTTTAAGCCATCCGTGTGGGGAATGCAAGTGTGTGGGGATTGGATGTTTATAGTTAAGATGAGATGTTGGGGTCAGGAAATTGGAAGTTTTAGAGGAGGTGGAGGGCGTGGGTGGTGTCTCAGATGTAGATGGAGAGTTTCTTGACCAGGTGGAAGAAAAGGGAATACCAGAGTCAAGGTAAGTGGAGATAAGTCCAGTGGAGCAGGAGTAGGCAGAGACAATGGGTCGGCTGGGACAGTCAGGTTTGTGGATTTTGGGAAGGAGATAGAAACGGTTGGCACAGGGTTGGGGAACGATGATGTTGGAGGCTGTGGGCCCAGTGGCAAACTCAGAAAGTCCTCATGATCCTACCCTGTGCTGTAATAAGTTAATCAAATGAGCAATATCCTGACTTTCTCAGGATCTCGAGTCATAAACCTACGAGTGTCATTGCACTTCTCCAAGGGTGGGGAATAAACTTATTATACACTAACGGAATTTTGAATGGAAAAGGAAAGAAAGGACAAATTATGTTTATAGTACAGTTAATTCACTTACAGAAACCGCTGTTAAATTAAAATAGTCAAATTTGAACAGTTTCCTTGACCTATCGGGCTGAAGACATATACATTTGGAATTTCTCAGTCTTAAAAAAATTCTCCTTTGAGGTGTCACTGAGCTGTTCTCCGAGCCCAGCTTCCGCGTCATTGCCTGATCTGGCATAAGTGAACTTTTCCTACTGGCACCTTTTCCACTATAGGTAAAGAGAAATTTCTACTATGTTGTAGCCTGATTGCTTTTTCCGTGTATGTACTCGGTACGTGAATCCTATATTGCGAACAAAACTGATGTAAATACCGTCTCCATGTTTAGCCTACAGTTTGAAAGTATTAGCGTAGTTCTGTCACGCGTATCACCTCCCATCTCTGTGAATCTTTAGGACACGAGCAAGCAGCAGTAGCAGGTAACACTAACCACAGGACTCTCAGGAAAGTTTCACGACTTGCTGCACCTCTACCTATAGATCAGATGCAGAAAAGTACAGTCGAATTTGTGGATATGTTGACGAGTCACTGGTAGAATTTGTGAATGAGCTCCTCCCCATAGTGGGCACCGTCTGTCGGTGCCACCAAATCCTAAACTGCGCGGACTTGCTTGTGCCTCTGCTATGGGCCAAGTATTGAAAACTGGGATTGGAACAGTTAAATGTTTATTTTTGACCAACGCAAATGCAATGGACTGAATGGCCTTTTCTCTGTAGATCTGTATGATTTTTGACTCGATGAAAAGGAGAACTAACAAAAGGTAACAAAGCTAATATTTCCAGTAACAATCACTTTCCATGAAATAATAATAACATGAATGAAATGAGAGGAAAAGTTATAATAATGAAATAATCCTTCCTCTATGCACTCCACATGTCTTAAATATAGACTATCCTCTAGCCTCCTGCATGCTAAGTTGCTAAATTTATATATTAAGTAAAGCTATAATAGCGACTACCCTTAAGAAGGAATCTGTCTGTGCCCTAGAACGAAAACAAACAAAAACATGGTATCCAATAAATTACAATCGATTTAGATTAGTTCTGTCATCAGAATTTACAAAGTTTAATGATTATGATGAGAGGATATTTCACCCCATTTTTTAACTCATGTCTGATTTTGCTCTGGGTCATAGCATAAATAAATGGGTTAATGCATGAGCTCAACAACTGAAGCATATATCCGCTCTGTTCTATAAACAAGGTGGAATTTTGCAAATTGGAACCTGCCGAATAAGTAAGATTTGCACTTCGAACGTAAAGGATATTGACAAAAAATAACAAATACAAAAGAAGGAAACTGCCTGAGATGGCGAATAGCAAGACAATCAATTTTCTTCGTTTTTCCACCTCTTGATCACTTTTATTGTCTCCATTGCCTTTGTTCCGGAGTTTCTGACGGGTTCTGTTAGCCACTAGAATGTGTCTAACTGTCAGGGCATTGAGCAGTAAAATCAGAATGAATGGGAGAAAAGGGTTTAAAATAGATCGAATCCAGTCATATGCCGCCCATGCAGGTGATGTATAGTATATTGCTTTTATGACACAGAACCAAGGTATATTGTTAATGATGTACCTGTGTTCTAGTTGCAAATATATAAAAATGTTTTTTATACAACTGAGTGAGGTCACGATTCCTATAACACACGATGCCATCTTCTCAGTGCAATATTTTATTTTCAGCTGCTGACAGGAAATGGCAATAAAACGATCAAAGGTGAAAGCGACCGTTAACCAGGCAGAACAGTCAATGGCTGCCATATTTAAGGCAGCGCGAAAACGGCACACTGGTGTGATTGAGAGAAAACTGGATGGGAAGTAAATACCAGCAATCCGGTTTAATATTACAGCCGTTACCATAACGAGGAAGTCTGTCACCCCCATGGACACCAGGTAATAAGTGATACATCCAGAAGGTCCACATCTTCTTCGAGACAGGATCACAACAACTGCCAGGTTAGCTATAAGTGAGTAAGAGAGAGTTTATTTCGCGATTAGGGCAAGTATTGTATCTAATCTCAAGTAACTCACCATTTAACAGGATCAAGTATGAAATTATAAAATTTGAGATGCAATTGTGCATATTATTTTCAATGTGACACAATTGACTTCAGGGTTTATAATTGTCCTTTAAATTAAAGTCAACCAAGTTAGTGTGGCAACAATGCAACTAATTGAATAAGGGACAGACAGGAAGGTATTTATATCAGCATAGCTCTATGGAAAATACTCGAGGAAGTAAGAAACACAGAACTGACAATAAATCTGGAAATGAACTGGGAGATGAATTAAAGATCACTAGGAGACAAACCTAAATCAGTTCGATGATTAAATCATTCAACCACTGGGAAAGTAATCTTTCAATTGTCAAAAAAAACACCACCAAGAACAGAATGGACTCGCCAACTTCACACAGTACATGTTTGGAAAGTTACAATGTTAGATTCATACCTTTTACCAAACAGCGACATGATTTCTGGTATGTCGATCTCAGCCATGGGAACTGACAGATGATGAGATCTAGTTCGAAGAAGGAGCCTCTTACAACACAAAACTTTAATGGTGCTTTAATGCACTTTCAAGAAAAATTATCAACGCTATCACATTGGACGTTTGAAATAAAATCTTTCAAATTAGATGTGAATTGCCAACAGGATTGCACGTTCACTCAACATGGAGAAAATAGTGACTATATAACAGTCTGAAATATTGCCTGCTGCCGCGAGTAATTAGAATATTCAGTAATTGTCAATTTAGATCCTGCAGCAGCAAATAGTGAGGAGTTGATTGGGACAGAGTTAATGAGTATTAGTAGGTGAGAATGGACACACTGGAGCTGGGCTTCTAATTCAGAGCTTCTCCGCTCCAACCACTTTTCTTTCTTCTTTTCTGAGTTTGTTTTCTTTCATTTTAGTTTTATTCTCTTTACTTACCAGCTGGAGGGAGTTCGATCGTGAAGGCAGTGGCGGCGACGGGAGCGGCTGGAGGCCCAGAGCAGGGAGTATGCCGGTCAGACACAAGGTGGTTGGTGTGTTCGGGCAGAATTCTGGTGGCCAGTGGAACTATGGGAGTGGCTGGGAGACCAGAGAAGGACAATGATCGTCAGTGAGATGGCAAGCAGCGGCAGGGGGCCCGAGAGATACAGCTGTGCATGGGAGAGAGATCCAACCCTCATGGGGAAAGCCCAGCGTTGAGCAACTGCAGTTCCATGGCTGAACCAGGACTGTGATTTGGAAGTTTAAGCTATATTTCTTATTTACTACTTCATTCTGACAATAGCTAATGTTGAACTTTAAACTTTACTTTATTGTATTTTTTCTGCGCCTTACCTAAGATTTTGTACCTCGATACCTTGTACCTAAGATGTCGCCATGAATGGCAACATTGTAAACTTTTTCACAGTCCTCCTGCATCGCTGTACTTGAGCACAAGTGACAATAAAATCTAATTCTAATTCTAACAATGCTCTATGAGTCAGAGAAACATAAGTATTTGAATATGGAAGAGAACTCTGACATTGGCAGTGCATCACAAAACTGCTTCATAATGAATATGTCCCTCAAGAAACTCAATCAGTAATTGCAGATAGGAACTGTTCAATACCGCAAAAGGACAGGAACAATAACTCAATTGTGAGAATTAAAACCTCATTGTGAAAGTAAATTGCAGGATAAAAGTATATTTACCTCTGACAGTGACACTTCAAATCACCGGGAAAGACAGCAAAAATAATACAAGAGAACTGCTTTTCAGATGGCAAAGATAAAATACACCCGAATGATTGTCATTGCCATATCGAACTGCATTTACAACATTATCACTAGCTGGATTTGCCCACAATACATTGTCAATGACACAATAAAATTATTTTACACACTGATAACAATCTGATAATTCACTTGCAGTAAAAGGAGTATTGACAAAACAGAATTCTATTTGCCGTATGTGCTCACAGTAAATAAAGGAAATAGCGCAATTAAATTCATTACATGTTTATGATCGCAGAAAGATAGTCGACCATAAAAAGGTACAAATTAATCACTTAATAAAAGTGTGTGTCAGTAAAGTGATGAAATAGTAATGTTAATGTCGAGAAATAACGCATGAATGTCATAAGATTCTGTCAGTAAATGGAAAGTAACATGATGATAAAATGCTGAATTTTCCAGAATGGTCGGGGATACAAGAATGGAAGTTATATCTGTTGAAGGGAGCACATCATACCAGTTACAGGAGAACTATATTCCCTTTAATCACAGGGCGGATATCTGTACCTCGGTGACGCGTCTCTCCCTGAAAACAGGAAGATATCGTGCACCTAACCATTGATTTACGTAGTTTATAATTACCGTAATTTACCTGGAACTCCAATCACAGCAAGGACAGGATAGTAAATGGCAAACACCAGACCTTTTGGTATTTCGTGCATTTCTCTCTGAAACTCTCAATGTCATCTCTGACTCAGTGAAGAGTGCCTACATTTATACCTGATTTCAGTCCCAGGGGAGACCATTAATTACATTGATTTTTACGTTTATTTAATTCATTGAAATAACCAGATGTGTTCTTCTGCTGCTGTTTTTGTTTAGATGGCAGTTGATAATTCTTTTTTAATATTCACCTCAAGGTGAATTTGAGGTTGAGGAGAAAGATATTAGTAAAGTTCATGAACTGTTCAAGTTCCTCGTGGGAGCAGAAGGCAGCACCGATACAGTCATCAATGTAATGGTGGAAGAGATAGGGGATAGTGCCAGTGTAGCAGCGGAAGTGGGACTGTTCCATGTATCTTACGAAGAGGCAGGCATAGCTTGGGCCCATGGGCGGTCCCATTGGCATCCCCTTAGTTTGTAGGAAGTGCGAGGAGTTAAAGGAGAAGTTGTTAAGAGTAAGGACGAGTTCGGTTAAGCAGATGAGGGTGTCTGTGGAGGGGGGCTGTTTGGGCCTACGGGACAGGAAAAAGCAGAGGGATTTTAGGTTATCTGTGTGGGGGATACAAGTATACAGGGATTTTATGTCCATAATGAAGATGAGGGCCAGAGAATTGGAAGACTTGGAGGAGCTGGAGGGCGTGGGTGGTGTCCCGGTCGGGGGTTGCTGGACGAGGGGAGAAAACAGACTCAAGGCAAGTGGAACTAAGCTCAGTGGGGCAGGAGCAGACCGAGACAATGGGTCTGCTCGGACAGTCAGGATTGTGAAATTTGGGAAGGAGATAGGAACGGGCAGTGCGGGGTTGTGGAAGGATGAGGTTGGATGCTGTGGGTGGAAGTTCACCTGAGGTGATGAGGTTGTGGATGGTTTGGGAGATGATGTTTTGGTGGTCAGGGGTGGTGCCATGATCAAGGGGGCGGTGGGAGGAGGTGTCAGAGAGTTGACACCTGGCCTAGTCGATGTAAATGTCAGTGCGCCATACCACAACTGGGCCTCCATTATCCGCGGGTTTAATGGTGAGGTTAGGGTTGGAGTGGAGGGAGCGGAGGGCTGCACGTTCTGTGGTGGAGAGGTTGGAGTGAGGGGTGGAGAGGTTGAGGCGATTGATGTCACGACAGCAGTTGGAAATGAAGAGGTCGAGGGAGGGTAGGAGGCCTGTGGGTGGTGTCCAGGAGAATGGGGTGTGTTAGAGGTGGGAGACGGGTGTTTTGGAGGGTGGGTTAGAATCGCGGTTAAAGAAATAGACACAGAGGTGAAGGCAGCGGAAAAAATATTCGACGTCCAAACGCGAACTGAATTCATTGATGTGTGGACGCAGGGGAATTAAGGCGAGTCCTTTGGAGAGGGCGGTCTGGGGGATGGTGAAGACCGGCAGGGCTTGTGGCTGGAACTAGGTTTGGAGCTATTGGCTGGGTTGGAACTGGTTGTAGGGGTGGAGTTAGGGGCGACATCAGTGGTGGGTGGGGCGACGTCGGTGGTGGGTGGGTGTTTTCCCTGCGCGGGATGACCGGCAGTCATTCCCCACGTTTTTTCATACAGAAACGTCCTCCCAGTAAATGAAAAGTCGTGAACAAGAGGATAACCATGTCGGAGACAGCATCACGACACAAACACAGTTCACCATTATTAGGACAGATATCACCGATTATGAAAACTCAGAGATACAAGTGACAGAGAGTCCCAGTGGTTTCGATGCACTGAACAGCTTCTTTCTGCACTGAAAGCACTCCATGAGTTTTCTGAGCGTCAGTCACTATGTGGAAGGTGCTTCACGCTGTGCGAAACTCAGTTGGTTCAGGACTGGACACTGAGGTCTTGCAATGACTCGTTGATCTAGGGGTTAGTTTCTCGGTTAAGGCTTTGTACATTGTAGACATGCGAGTGTTTCAGGATGTTCACCCATGCCATCCGACTACGAATGAATCTTCCAGCTGCCTTATTGCCCAGTTGTGGGAGTGAAACTTCAGGAAGAGGCAACATGAAGTGATTGGAGGCAGCACTGAGCAGGTTTTGTGAATGGTGTCGTTTATGAGAAATGTCAGCAATGAAGATAGATTAGAAAGTAAAAATCGTTCCCTTTTGAGAAGAGAAGGCTGAAAGCTGACCTGATTGAAGTTTTCTAGTTCATGAGGGGTCTGGTCAGCGTAATAATGGAGGAAATGCTTCCCCAAGTGGATGGATGGAAAAATGCAGAGCAGAGATTTAAAGTAGTTCCCAAACGAAGCAAAGCGACTTGAGGGAAAACTTTCTTCACAGTGAATGGTTAGTGTTTGTAAATTAATGCCTGAGAATGAAGAAGAGACACTGAAAAAAGAATTAGGTGATCATGTAAAAATGTACACACTTACAGGGAGAAGGTAAAAGAATGACATGAACCAAAAACATACTCATTTTGAAAATCCAACACAGACAAGGTGGGCTGCATAGCCTTCATCTGCGCTGTGTCAAATCTGTAGCTCGAATCAGAGCTGGAGCAACATAATATGGGAAGTTAAACAAAGTTCATATTTACACAGCCGGGACACATCTGCACAACAGAGTATTACAACAGTGAAGATCTATTGACATCATTCTCCATGGCGTATGTCACAGGGCGGACAGCGCTGTCTGAATCAGCGTGGGGAAATACTGCAGGATGGCCTGTGGATCAGACATAGTGCACTTTACTATTCAGGTCATCACAGAGCGAGAGTGTAGGAGAAACTGGAAATCACGTGACTGCTGCAACTTTGCAGCTTGTATCTGTCTTGGAATAATAACTATTTCATTGATTTGTTCCGCAATGAAGTGTATACTGGAATGCGGGAAGCTGAGAAAGATATCAGAAGGCGGCTGAGATTCATCACAGCGGAATTCTGGGAGATATCGCCACAGTCATGATAGCTGTGCGGGAGACCTCCGCAGGACACCCTCCGTGAGGCGACGAAGAAGGCTCGTGAATCAGAGGGTGCAATTTAGGATTTTGGAATTGTCTGCTCTGCGCATAAGTGCGGGCCATTAGTATCTGTCCAGAAGAGAGTTGGTATCAATAATGACGCCTGGGAGCAGCACTGTGTACTCTCCTCGAATTTCAACAACAATTCCTCACAGACAATTTTACATCCCCACTGTCATGGGGCTTTTCATTCCATCAGTGCAAATTCTTTTCTTAGAAGTCGATTCAAATCCCAGCTGTGCCTTACTTTGAAGTCGTCCCATTTAAACTTCTCTCAAGTGCCATTTTGTTTATCCAACGTGGTGATCTCGAAGGAGACAGCTGGACATGCTTCCTGTGCTTGACTTAAGCCTGTTATTATTGCACTGCTCTCACTCTAGTCGCCCGGGTTTGTCCCCAGCACACCATGTTGCTTCTTGCTGTTTTGCGAACTGTAGCAATGAACAGTTGCAAGCTAATCAGTGAGAGAGATTTTGATAAACATGCTGATTCGCCAGATAAAGCTGATAATTTCACCCAAAATTATAATGTAGAATTGCATAACTAATGTGGTTCTGAAATGGTCCGTGGACCCGAAACATTAGCTTTGTTTCTCTCCACAGATACTACCAGAACTGCTGAGTTTATCTATCAATTCCTGTCTTTTTTTTTATGCCGGATTTCCAGCATCAGCCGTTCTTCGTTTTATGTTAACCTGAATAATGCGTGGGACAAAGTGGATTATCAGCCAGTTCCACAGCTTCGTTCTTGCTCCTGAAAATCAGTCAGTAATTCTGTCATCATGATAACCTGGCAGAGTAGAACTCGCCTCCCTGACCGGAAATTGAAGCCTGACCGTGGTGGTGAAAGTGCCAAATCGTAACGACTGGACCACCAGGGAGAATGCTTTTGTTTCTCGCATTTTGTCAAAATTATACTGCTTCTGACTTTTGATTTGCTATCATTTTGGCTACAAGTCAGTTTCTCTCTGTTGTCGAATCTGCCGTGTGAAAAAAAGACCCACTAACTATATCTTTCCAACCTGAAAACATGTGCTTTGTTGCGACAGCTTTTCAGGAGTTTGAGCCAGTCTCTGTAGCTTCTGCGTGATCACCAATTGTTCGTCCATGCTCCTTTATAAACTAGCACTGTGAACTCGTATCTTGTACAATGGCCTTTCATGTAGCCCCGCAGTAAGCAGATGGGAGAAATCCAAATATACTTCATCTGCTGATTCCCCCTTTATCAAATCTGCTTATAGTATCTACAAAGAACCTAAGAAACTTGTCAAATGTGATTTCCCTTTTACAAACGACTTTGACTCAGTTTCAATGCATTAAGCTTTTCCAAATATCCTGTTATTACGTCCTTAACAACGATCTCTAGCACTTTGTAAATTACAGATATTGGGCTCAGACCATAAGACATTAGAGCAGAAGGAAGCCGTTTGGTCCATCATGTCTGCTGCACCTTTCAATGAGATTATTGTTGATTTGATGATCGTCAACTCCACTTTCCTACCTAATCTCCTTGGCCCATGATACCCTTACTGAATAAAAATCTGTCTTTTCAGCCTTAATATACTTAATGACCCGGCCTCAACAGCCCTCTGCAACAAAGCATTCCACAGATTTACTACCCTCCAAAGGAGAAAAATCCTTCTTATTTCTCGATTAAATGTACAACCCCTTCCTCTGAGATTAGGCTCTCTGGTCTTAGACTATCTTGAGTGTAAATCAGAGCAGAACAAACCCCGAAACTTACATGTGAACTCATTGGTGTCTCTAGTGCCAGTTGTGAGTATTTCAAACATTTTCTTTGATTTCTGGTTGTACTGCCCTGATTTTTGCATTCGATTTGCCAATGAATGATTTATTTCAAAGATACTTTATTGGTTGTGAGGCATTTTTTAATCAGGTGATGATGAAATGCGCTATAAAAATACAAGCACAACTTTCTCGATCCAGCAGCTTGAATATTGATATCTCTGCTCATGGAAATTGATTCTTCCTATCCAATGTACCTCTCCTCAATGTGTACAACTCAATTCAAACTCCAACGCATCATCCTCCAATACTTCCACAAAC